TGCTAACTGTGGCGGTGATAGCAATGCCGTCCGAAGTCAGCTGAAGGGTGTGCAGCAGATCCAAGCATCCACATATGCCTTCGCTGCCATTTTGGATGATGGGACTGTTGTGACCTGGGGAGCCAGCAACAGCAGTCGTGTCCAAGATGAGTTGACTGAGTTGAAAGGCGTGCAGAAGATCCAAGCCTTCTGCTCAACTTTTGCTGCGATTCGCATTGATGGGTCTGTTGTCACCTGGGGCCATGGTTGCAGTAGTGGCCAGAGCGATGATGGTGATGACTGCGCAACTGCCTCCTGGGTCGACAATGCTGGCGGTGGTGGGGACAGTAGCGAGGGCTGACGCGCTTTTATGTAGAAGAGATGAAATTCCTTAATTCGATATTGTCCCCAGCTAAGGGGACCAGGTTCCAAGCAACATTTTTGCTAAGAGCTGTATCCTGAACAAGTCGGCAGAAGCAATTCAGAATACGAAATCTTCGTTGTCGGCCTGCAATCACGGAGGACTGTCGCGTTTGGATGTGAACACAGTTCTTGCATTTCACGTCTCTGGAAAGCAACAACAGATGGCGACAGACTTTCGCACTAGCGCAGTAGCGCTTGACAACGTGAAGGAAATACCAAAGCCGATATGCTGAAAAAAGGGCTCAGCAATCAAAACATGTGCTGTCGAAAGCATGTCCATTCACTTTGAAAGCCCGAGTGAGGTGCAGCTGTTTCGGACCATCATCGCGCGTTGAGCCCCAACCTAAACCCCACTCCTCGCCTCCCCAAAGCCTAACCATTTCAAACCCTTGATGTCCTCGCAGGTCTAGCGCAGCTGTCATGGTGTTTTGCGACGCCGCTTGGCCCAATCTTGAGACACCCGTAAGCTTTTTCGCACGCAGAGTGTGGAGCAGCGGCACGAACCCTAACCCCTAAGCCGACCCTCCCCAAACCTTTGCTGAGACTCCTGGGAGGATCCAAAAAGGCAGAACACCCAAGCAGTGCCCAACACGATTCCAAGGAACCCTCAAGAAAGGACCGAAACCGAAAAGGGAACCCTTTTTGATTCCTGGGTCCCACACCCCTCTCCACACCCTAAACCCTAAACCCTGAACCCCAAACCCTGAACCCTGAACCCTGAACCC